CCCCAAAACCCCAAAACCCCAAAACCCCAAAACCCCTATTAAGACAGGTATAATTGAGAAATAATGAATTATCCGTCTACATAAGAGACATAATCACTGTCTGGAGTTTAGAGACCACTTTGGCATGTGAGAGCTCCCTCTTAGGATCAAACTCGTATCGAGAATCATCCTTGTTATCATCTGCTTCACTGTTGAAATTTCCTGGTTGCTCCACCATAAATCTTGCCAGTTTTAGGGACTCCTGATCATCAAGTTTGAACTTAGTGCTGAGTGTTTTTGAAAGACTTGCTACTGATACCTTTCCAGTAAGAGAAAAGTCTACAAACAGGAGATTTGGAAGATCCATAATGTCAATATCATTCCCATTTCAATGATCAAGTATTTTTTTTGCTGTTGGAAGTATCTCACTTTTTGTAACTGGCGAGACCCTCTCAGTCTCGCTTTCAGAAAGTTCATCCTGAAATTCTTCTTCGTATTCCCCCTCTTCCTCAACCTCTGATTGGTGTTTACTAGAATTAAGTGGACGGGAGTCCTTCTCTCTTTCTTCCCGACTGAGATGATTCTGGAGTATATCCTCGTCTTTATCATCTCTTTCAAATAATGAGAGATCCCCTTCAGAATCACTATTCTTATCTTTGGGTGGTTTAAAAGCGCTCTGCTTTACTTTGGAATTACTCGAATTATTATTTTGGGACAAGGACACTATCCTTCCAGAACCATTCTTGCCATCACTAGGAGTTGCTTGGCCACTACTGACCATTTGGGCTTTAAATTCGCTATTAACACCTGTTCTATCGTTAAATTCTCCTTTGTCGAAACTATCATTTAATTGTTTCGCTTGAGGTCTGCTCTGGAGCTCTTGAGTAAGATGCTTGATTTTCATCTTTAGAGTTCTATACATAATCAGGAGAAATTACTGTTCAACTTGCTCAAATTTCTTAGATTCTTCAGCCAACTTGGCGCTAATATCTAAATTTATACTCTCAAGCTCTTGATTCTCGACTAGGGCTTCTTTGAGCTTGGACTGAAGCGCTTCAATGTCATTTTCAAGATCATTTTTGATATTTTGATAATTCTCTTCTATCTCTTGGTTCTTTCCCAACAAGGTGTTCTTCTCATTTACCATATCAACAACTTGTTCCTCAAGTGAACTGATTTGACCCTTAAGATTAGAGACAACCTGCTGATGATCATCTTCAAGACCTTGCACATGTTGTTCATGGTCAGCATTGAGAGATGCAAGTTCTCCTTCGTACTTATTCATCTGAGCTTGGAGCCTGCTTTCGTATTCAGAAATAGTCTCCTTCAGTTGGTTCTCTAACCCAGAAACTTTATTCTTAAGATCTTCAATATCATATTCTTTTTCAGAAATTATTCCATCTCTGTTCTCAAGTTCAAGTTTCAGAGACTCAATGTCTTTCTCGATTTGGCTGATGTGAGACTTGTTTGACCTAATTTTCTGGTCTCTATCTGCTACAACACCTGTCAAACAGTCTATTTTATCACTCTTTTCTGAAATGACTTGGTTAAGAGAATCAATTTTTGATTCTAAAGATTTAACTGTTTTCTTCTTAGCTTCCTCAAGATCTCTGTATTCTTCATCTTTTTGCTGAATTCTAGCCTGGTATTGTTTAAGCTCTTTTTGAAGCTCTCTGATGTCCTTATGGGAATTGTCTCTATCAACTTCGGTCTGCATCAACTTATTTTTCAAGCTGTAAACATTCCTCATACTTTGCTTGGTAAATTTGCTCCTGAGACTGCTTCTGGCCCTCAAGGTTATTTATTATTTCTTGTTGGTCGTCAATGTAAGCTCTGATATTGAGGACTTGGTCAGCACCGCCTATCTGGCCGATAAATCCATCAATCATGCGTCTTAGACGGACAGCTTCTTCCTCGAAGATGTCTCTTTCTGTCCTGAGTTCCCTGAGGTAACTTCCTTTCATATCTTTCTTTAAGGAGTCAATAATGTTCTCTTTGGAGTTTAGCTCCGTCTTTTGATCTTCAATAAGCTTTTTCAGATTAATCACTATGTTGCTCTCAATAGACTTCTGTAAAGCATCCATTGTCTGCTTTGATTGGGTATTTGGAGAGGTATAAGCAGGATATTGGAGAGGCTTCTGCATGAGGTCCTGGACTAGAGCATCCCTCTTCTTGACCTCTTTCTCAAGATACCTCACTCTAGCTCCTAATTTTCGATTCTCTGTGGTTTTGGAGTTCTTCTCTTTCTTGAATTTAAGAGCTTCATCATATAAGAATTCTTTTTCTCTTTTTAAAGCATTATTCCATTTTTCCTTCTTATTTTTCCATATGCTGAAGTCTCTTCTGTAATTTGCTTGGAGTATTTTGCATTTTACTGCTATAAAATGCTTCTTTGCAGACAGGTTTGATCCCTCTGCCAGCAGATCTACCATTAGGAGCAGAGGTTATGACATAACGGCCGTCCTCAGTGCTTCTTCTGGGGTCTTGACCAAGCCTTTTTCTCTTAAGGCTCTTGTGGTTGGAATGAGGGTCGATCGGCCCTCTCATACTCGCACTCTGGGGTCTCTAAAATGCATTAAACTTTGCCTAAATACCTGCTGATGCATAGGAGCCTCAGCTCGGATCGGATGTGTGTTCATAAAATTGAATTGCATCTTCTGGTCCTCATCCAGTGGGTAAAAGTTCTCGTTATTATAGGGCATTCCTTCATCCATTATGAATAATTTTCAGGTAAATTTCTAAATATTTAGTATAAATTAAAATATTCTATTATTTATTTTGCTTCAGGGGTTTTGGGGTTTTGGGGTTTTGGGGTTTTGGGG